AAAATATTTCTAAAATGTGATCCAACTAATGTAGAAGTCAAGAGTTTGATTCAATTAATTTTAACTGAGGGAAGTGAAAACCCCTTTGTAATAACTCCAATTCATAATTCAGTAAAGAGAGGGTTTTCATTAATTAATTTTCATTCTAGGGCCAGAATATCCTCAGTCTCTCTTTCAATCAGACCTGTCTCAGATTAGATCTGCAATGAACGTCCTCGGGAAAAGGATAGTTACAATAACCACTAGGCACTGAGGTAAATGTTTACATTTATCTACGTTCTACCATCATAATAACTCCACGAATTAATCTTCCCATTTTATAGATCAGGAAATTAGAATTCAAAGAGATTAAGCAATTTGCCTGAGGATTTGGATTTGAACCTGAGAGTGCTAAATCCAAAGTCTGTGCACTTTCCGACATATCACAGTCTGCCATTTCTTTAGAAAAAGAATCCAATAGAATTTCAGCAGAAATGGTTAAGGGATTTGGGCTCACTCCCAGTACCATAAGCACTCAGAGAAAAAGAGACTTGCCCCCAGCCAGCTCCCCCTTGAAACACTAGGCAGAGGCTGAGCCTTTGCGGAGGGACACGGGGTACAGGCTGGTCTCCCCTTCCCAGCTGAGTCTGTGGTTTCACTGACTCTGGCTTTGTTTCAACTGCAGGCGAATCTGGCTTTTGCAAATATTCACCTAACCTGGAAGTCTGTGAATTGCAAATTCCTAAAGCCGCATTTAGGCCCCGAGGACAAAAGGGCCCAGGTAAGGCAGGAATTGTGCTGCTCAAATGCAGGGAACCCCCACTACTTCCACAGGCGGAATTCCCCAAACCGGGAGCCCTCCCTAGGGTGTCTGGATCCTAGGCCAGCTGAGCTGAGCCAAGCAGCATCTGCTCTGCTCTGCCCTGTCAGTGTCTTATCCGTGGCTAAATAAATTCAGAACTTATATTTGAGAGGGTGTGTGTGGGCGTGAGGTTTCTCTCGGAAACCTGCAGTGTTTCATGGGGTAGGCGGCAGCGTGGTACTCGCAGCCTCCAGAACTCACCCCTGTGCTACTACTATTTCTGTTTTCCTTCCTGTTACTCCCCTGCTCCCTGTTTCTCAGGGAGACTTGACACATTCCTCTGCCTACTTTGACCCCATCTCCTTGGAAAAACGCCACAGAAAACAAGAAACCTTAAGTCTATACATTCTCCTCCCATATTATTAGGGCCGTAGTTCTCTCATCTTCCTTGAATAACACGGTTTGGGAGTGTGTGTAAGCGCCTGCTCCCCGAGAGCATCCAGAAGACCGGTGGTCACTCGTACTCAAGTCTGTGTATCCACCTCTAGTCCTGATCCCGGAACAAAGGAAACCGCTCACGTTTGAAGCCAGTGAAGTTACATGATCAGGGCTCAGACCAGCCCCAGGTGACAAAAGTGGCTGCTTGTAAGTCGACAGAGAACTTATACTCACATTTCAGCTCCAGCTTGATGAAATCTGTGTTCCCCATATTTTCAAGAAACACTCCCCGGGGAGTTAGTGTTTTGAAGTAGAAAGAAATGTCAGCGCTGGTCTCCCCTTGGAAAGTAGAGAAGTGCAGGTAGGAGGATGCATTTGGGAAAGAGGCGGCATTCCAGTAATTCCCTGTGGGAGGAAAGAAAGACCAGGTTCACTCACACCCTGATCATGCCAGTTACACAAAAGCTCTCCCTTTTTTGAGTTTAGTAAATTTCCATTTATTAAACTCAAACTCTCCTTTGGCAATAGCCCTATTTCCTCTCATCCTGTTAAACAACATTGTACCAAATCCTTACAAACCTATCTTAGGTTTTCCGAAAGTTATGTGTGTATGCGCATATGATATTTTATTTATGTATGTTGATTTTATTAATATGTCTATAAAATATATAAAATTAGTATTAATATATAATTCATATAAAACGTATACAAATAAAACTATTTTTAATGTACATAAAATATTTTATTAAAGATTGGTCGTTGGGGTTCCTACCAAGGAACCCTGGAGGGACTCTAGGAGTAAATGGCAACAGAGGTGAGAAGTGAGAGAAGCCCCTGGTGTTACTATATGTGGGTGGGGGCTGTTCTGAACTCTGCATTTCTATTGGTGGCTTTGGTCTGGTGCAAGAAGCATCTGAGCTAGACCTCAGGATGATAAAAGAGGAACAGTTTTTGATATTCTGCTCTTGCTTCTCACCCACCTTTACCCTGGAATAACCAGTGCCCAACCCAGCGTCAGCAGCCACCCAGACACCTGGTACAGGGGCTTCAGGAGTACCAATGAGGGCACAGAAGCCCTGTGGAGGTGAGTTGCTGAGAACAAAGCAGAACTGATCAGACCGGGCCAGGGCGGTGGTTTCCTCACCTCTCCTGCTCCAAACTCTGGGACTGAGTCACTATAAAGGGAGAGTCTCCCCGCCAACCGCTTCCTCCGTGGGGACTCCAGGTAAGCTCTGACCTGCGGCATCGTTTTGTGGGGTGGGGAGGGATGAGCTGAGCCCACGTGAGGGGTCCCAATCAGCCTCCACCCTTGAGCCCGTGGAGAAGACATACACCCACTACCCACCACCCCTCCCCACTCATTGCCCGACAGGGCAGCCAGTGTTCCCAGGAGAAAGGCAGTTCACAGGACGAAATAACAACACCAAGCTGGATTACTCAGATTCCATTAGGACAGACGGATCAAGAATTTAATATGAGGCCAGGAGCTGGCTGTCAAGTTCATCTCCAGGGGAGAAATTTCTTTCTGCTGCGCACATTTCTAAGTACATTTACTATCACAACCAAAGACTAAGATACATGGGCATGTTTTACAGCAGTTACTAAAGCCTTTAGCTCTGATACTAAACCCAAAATATATGTTTTTTTAAAAAATGATATTTGCTATATCTTTCCTCCAAAGAGCACAATGAATCAACTGAGTGCACTCCATTAGTTTCTATTCATACACAAACGATATTTTTTCCTTCCTTTTATGCAAACTATACACAGATACAATATTAAATTGAAGTGCTATTTTTAAATAAAAGTAACTTTGTGTTGGTTCTGCTATGCTTAAGTCATAATTTTAAATTAAACATATAATATTGCTATATGCTAAGATATTAAAATACCTATTTAATGAATGATATTTGTTTTGGTTTTTAGAGACATCTAGGATGTAGTGATATCTAGATAAGTGGGTGTCATGTTAAAAGATAAACTTAGGCACTTTAAAATCGTAATACATTTATTTGAGCATTCAGTGATTTATTTATCTGGCAGCATGAGACCACAAGGGGTTCAAAGCTCCCCTAGTGGGGAGAGGAAACATTTATAAGGTGTTTGTGGAAGCAAGACAAAGAAACCGTTTGATTGACGAATGTGGAAAGTCCCTAGCTAGATGTTCTTAGTGGTTTCCAATCGGTTATGCTTAAGTTTCGTTTTATTATTTACATTGAAGTGGGTTATGGTTTGCTTACATAGGTATTCAAGGCTCTGGAGCCATCTCAGATGAATGGCCTCCCCATTAATTATTTTAGCAGGCAATACATAACCAGGAAGTCAGTGCAGAATATGTTTGCAAATGTCTTAATTAAGGCAAAAACAGTGGTGGTGGGACTGTTGGGGGAAACTACCGTTCTTAAGGCATCCTAAAAGTCAATCAGAAGCTATTTTTTAAAAAAATAACTACAAAATCATAGCTTCCAGTAGGAGAAAAATAGGTTAGCTTCTTCTCAGGAAGGAGAATATTATATGATATTGGGTAGGATAATACTGGAAAAGAAAGTTTCTTCCCTGCTGCTGAAGCTGTTGTCACCGGAGGGTGAACCTCCTCCCAGCTCAACACCTGGCTTATTACACAGTGAAAGGAGTTCAGGCTCACCTCCTCCAGCCACCTGAGGATGCAGGACTCTTACAGAAAACCCAAACCGAAACAGAAGTTGCAGCCCTCTCACCCATGTGAGAGTCCTACAGCTGGGAGGGAGTGAAGATGAGTCCGGGGGCTAGAAGGATTCAGCTCATCCTAATTGGTAAGAGCCCTTTAACAACCTAAGAGCCTGAACAGATCAAAGTCCCCAGACATGCGGCAGCCTTAAGCAAAGCAATTCTGTCTCTTTAGGCTGCATCCCCAGGACATGAATGTAATTAACATTTTAAAGTTTCAATCCGATCAAGCACATTCTTATTTTTTGAGGCAGTGATGTATTAGCAGAGGGCAGTTGTGTAAAATGATTCTAGAAAAAGGAAAGCTTAAAGTAAAACATGTCAGTATTTATTTAAGGTCCAGGACTGTTATTCAGACAGAAATATCCCCAGAGAGGAGAAGGACAGTTCAGCCAGTTATTCTAGTTTGATGAAATATCTCTGTAGACCACAATTCCATTTATTCTAATTCTATGCTCACTAAGCAACTTCAATCTAATTGGGTCTCTGGAATAGACTGATTCATGGGGAAATCATGCTTTATGTGGGTGGTGTTTACCAGTATCCTGGAAACATCTGGATTATCACAGGATACCTTTGGAGTTGACACTTGGGAGTTGTCCCAAATCTCTGGATGGATTTACTAAATCCAGATTCTTTCCCAGCAACAGTGAGAGCTCCACTCCGGACTAGATTGGCAGTATCAAAGTTGAGGTGTCTCCTCAGGAGGTACCAAAGATGATCCACTGGGGCTGTGAACTAAAATAAAATCTTAAGCCCCCCTAACTGACTGAATGGACCCCCTCTTGGCCAACTGGACTCCAGAAAATCCTAAAGTTGACTTACTGGCCATGAGAAGAGAGGTCAGACACACCTAATCATGCCCCCTCCCTTTTTGGAGACATCCTTTATAACAGTGAGATGCTAAGTCATCAATAGGCCTGAGGCTACACAAGGCAAAGCTTGAACCACACCTGCAGGCCATTTATTTACTGAACAGATTACTTGAGTTTTGGTAAGTGCCCTACTGGTGGCTTGTCTTTGATTAATTGATATCCTTATCTTAAATTAAAACATTCCAATCCTTTAGACAAAGCTCCATTTCTTTAACCAATTACAAATCAAAGAATCTTTAAACCCACCTACCTATCACCTGTAATCTCCTCCCACCTCCCATTAAATGTCCCGCCTTTTCAGGCCAAACCAATGTACACCCTCCATGTATTGATTAAGTGTCTTATGTGTAATTCCTGTCTCCATGAACTCTGTGAATGCATAAAACCAACTGCCACCCAGCTACTGGGGGCACATTTTCTCAGGACCTCTTGAGACCATGTGCTCCAGGCCAGTCACACACATTCAGTTCAGAATAAACCTCTTTATTTTACAGAGTTCGGGTTTCTTTTTCCCCCATTAACAGGGCACAGGCAGAGGGCACTAGAACTTCTATTTTTATTTATTTTTAAAGGCTCATCCTATTAAATATGTATTTTAATTATACTTTATAACGTACATACTATATGAATACAGTGGTATATGGATAGAATTTATAAGTAAACATGTGTAGTGAGACGTGGGATTAAAGGCTTTTAATGAGTGGGGTAAATATTAAAAAGTGTGGATGCTTCTGTCACCCTGTCTGAACCCTGTTCTGAGGAATGTGTTGCCCAATCTCTGAGATTCTTGATTATAACACAATAACAAGAGTGCTTTCGCCACTGCTTATTGCACTTCATGATGCAAGGAGCTTATAGCGTTATTATTGTTTGTTTATATTGCTCCCAGCTGATCATAAGCTCCATGAAAGCTGGGATGAAACCATTCAATCTCTGTAATCTTTGGCCTCAGAATATAGTCAGTACTCACAAATAATTATTAAATCAATGGATAAGTGATCAGTTCCCCCTCTCATTTATACCCATTTCCACTCCATATGCAAAGTCCTCATGGGACAAAATGTGCTTTACGGTAACCTGAGTATTAAAGATGCTAAATAAGTATAAATAAAAGCTAATGCTGCTTTAGCACCTACTGATAACTGGGTGCTGCTTCCACTAGCAAACCATAATTTTCCTTATCCAGGACTTCATCTCTACTCTTCCCTTTAGACTTCATTGAACAAAGCCATGCATTTGCAAGACC